AAATTCGTTTTTTACCATGTTGAATTTGGCAACCTCAAAATATTTATACGGTGCTCTGCCTTAACAAGACAGCAATGCTCTATTGCAGCCCTTGAGGCACCGCTGAAAATAAAACAAACGGATACAAACACAACATGGAAATAGAACAAGAGAAAGGATGCGCGTTGATGACGGCGCGGAGATACAACTATTCGTGCTCGATGGATGTCCGTGTTGCGTCTGCAAAATTGAAGGCGCGATGGCGCGAGGCGTGGACTCGCAATGCTCCGGCGCTGCATGCTGTCAATGAGGTGTCGCTCGGATTTTAGAAAAAAGGAGGCCCGAATATGGCTCTCCAATCTTCAGCTGTGTTGACACTAGATTTTTTTCTTTTTCTTCTGTAGGATGTCTGATTCTCATTTTACGATGTATTTTTAGACCTATGTGTAAAGCTCGTATGTACTAGTCCCTCACAACCCGCGGAGCAAGTGGTTTAAGCAAGCCTCGGGTCAATGTGTCTCGGCTGGGGAACCATGGGTTAAATTACAAAATTGTAATGCACTTTGCTTTTTTGTATGCATATAAAAATATATTATAAGAAGAAATTGGGCAATGTCGCTGAAATTAGGCTGACTCTTGTCAAAGCCCTTCATATATTAAATACGTAGAAATACGCCTTCTAACCAAGATATAATCACTTTGAAATAATTACACATGCAAGTTTGCAATTATTCCTACAGCGTGGTTAGTCGCATTCTCTATTTTGTGTTCCGCATCAAGTGAAAATATTCAGCCATTGCTAATCGGAATACTTAATTGACTTGTATGACGTCTCGATTTTGTTTATTTTCTGTGACTGTGAGAATCGCAAAATCCATCTTCTGTACACATAGTTTCATTCCATGAATATCTATCGTGTGTAAATTATTGATGAGAGGCTTGGAGGACAAGGTGCATAGGTGAAATTTTTGAAAAAAATTTAGATATTAATTATTTCAAGTAAAACTACGAGTAGTCTTAATGCATATTCTGTGAAAAATTTGCTCCCAAAATCTAATTTTTAAGCATCGAAAATTAGTTTGAACTTTCTCTCCGCCATAAGCACCCATATAATTTCGAAACTTCAAACACGACAAACACATCTCGAAATAGCAAAAACTGCATTTATGCGCTTTGTCCCCTATGCTCCTCTGAGTTTATCTATGATTTATTTGTTTCATGGGCAAAACTAGAAATTTTCGAGAGAGGGGGCCCGGAAAGTAAGAAATTCTTGAAGATCGTGAACAATTAAGTTTCTCATGGCTACTATTTAGTGTTTCATTTATCTCGTATCCACATACTAATGGGAACTTTGAAGGTTGGACCGCGTAAGGGTCACAAATGGTAGACCTTTCAGTAAATTGAACGAGAGTAGCCAAGTTCAGTGGCGAGGCGTGATTATCGATATTTCCCGATTTGAAACTATGGCGAAGAATCGATTATTAAGGTGTTGTAGGTGTAAGGTGTAAGGTGTAAGGTGAACACCCTGTTTATTGATCCTTTTCCATAGGTTTAAATGGCATAACAATCGGTATATCGCAATTCACGCCACTCCACTGGCCAAGTTGTTACACATTTTTAGGGTCACCTTTGCAGCCGAAAGGGAAAAAATACGTTGATTAAAGTTACCTTACGACGAGATCAAAAGGACGTTCAATCCAGGCGAGAAAGCGTGACAAGGACAAAGTAGGAGAATAGACGACCGCAAAACAAAAGCGTATCGCAGAGTAACGGCGCTATTTTGAAAGTGCATATATTTTCCTCTAAGGGTGCACTGTGCAGCAATGACTGTAGTGTCAAACTTTCAAGGGGAGTTCAACTCCGCTAGGGAAAATTGTCAGAGAATAACACCACTTTATCCTTTACATACTGTGAGAACTAATGGCGAATTCGCAGGGAAAAATAAAGCGTATCGACTGAAGACACGAAATCAAAAGGCTGCTCGCAGAGACTTGCTTCTGCGACTCAATTTGCGTGTAACGTTAGACCAAGCAATCCTTTCATTCTTGCCCCTCCGAACGCTTAATTGTCTCAATGCGAAAGCGAAACTGCTAACTGGACGTATTTCTATCAAACGGAACTATGTGCATTAAGACATGAGCCCTGAGACCCATTAGAATATGTGCATAACAGGGGTCACGTTATAATGTATATAGTTCCGTTTGATAGAAATACGTCCAACAATGAATCTTGGTTACAACGGTTCAAAATTGCAAACTACTCCGAAAGTGAACCAGAATTGAGGGACCTAGAGGACAAGGCGTATAAATGTAGTTTTTGCTATTTCAAGATATACGATTTTTAGAGATTTTTAAAGTTTCAAAATTACATGGGGTATAATGATAGATAGGAAGTTGAAACTTACTTTTTGATGCTTTAAAGTTGGATCTTAGTTGCAAATTTTTTACAGAATTGACTTTCAAACTAATTCGAGTTGAGTTCAGGAATATTTCAATCTTTGCTGCACATTTTTCACAGAATTGACTTTCAAACTAATTTGAGTTCAGTTTATGAATATTTCGATTTTTTCAAAAACTGCACATATGTGCCTTGTCCTCCAAGGTTCTCAATTTTTCTTTCCGCAACTGAATCTTTTCTTTCGGTGAAAAATCATTACTTGCCAGATGAAGGGCTTTTAAAATTAGATTTAAACCTGAAAAGAGCATTTTAGTGGTAATCGGAAGATCCGCAGTGGGAGTCGACTGGTTTCCGGCCCAGACTCCCGTTTAAGACGCCGCACAGTGGATCGAGTCAATTAGAAAGGTCGGACATGAAATTTTTGACTGAAACTGCAAATTTTGATGTTATTCCGTCACATATTAAATTTTTATGGGTGTTTCTAAAAAAATTTTTACAAGGGAACCAATGGAACCACTTTTAAAACCCCAGTGTTTTCTTTAAACGGAGTTATAAGCTTTTGAAGTTTCCAAATTTTGTCCGACCTCTCCCGTTGAGTCAATCCACTGTGCGCCGATACCTTTCCCTGAATCACGGAGCCAGAGAATTCATTCGAAAAGGAACGCCAACCGCATTTAAACCTTGTCTTTCGAGTTGAAAACTTGGTAAAACTGGAAATCACCAGGATGGCAATTAAATATGCCATCTGCTCCGGCCTGTAATTACAGGGATGCGCATTTGAAGATAAAAACCATTGCTTCGGACACGTTTATTCCCTATTTTCTCTGCTTTCATTTTTTATTCAAAGCCTGTTCTGGTACAATATTTCTAGCTACTCATTTCCTTTTCCTTTTTATTTTATTTTATTTTTTTCTTTTTTGCCGGCTCTCGTCCGATCCCGAGTCGCGAGTCTCCGGATGATGGCAATTTCCTCCCGGCTCGCGACGCGCGTCGACGCGCGTCACGGAAAGACGATTCATGACGTCATGTCACAGGGATGCGGGTCATCCCTTATGTCCACGCCGTCCTGCCTGTAACCTCCACGAAAAATGAATCGGTTCCTGGTAAAGAAATCACTGAAAAAAAAGATTGGTAGAATTTACAATTCCTTCACACTGTATTTCATACACTTGCACTGGGGAAAAAAACACATTGGATCTAGAGTCCAGACTCTTGAAAACATTGACAAGAAAAAATAATCTTGATTCAATCAGATTTCAGCTTAAATCAAAAGGAAATCCGCTCAAATTAAGAGGCTGAGTTCTTGATTTAAGCTTAAATCTGATTGAATCAAGAGTATTTTTTCTTGTCGATGTTTTTAAGAGTCTGGACTTTACATCCAATGTGTTTTTTTTTTTCCAGTGCAGCGTCAATTCAGAGTCATTTCCGCCAGAAAAAAGGTAAACGTTACTATATACTAGTACAGATAGTCATTCCTCTGGCAGAATCGACTTTTCATTCACGCTGTGTAAAATACAGCCGGAGAGAATAGTAAATTCTACAAATCTTTTTTTCAGTGAACGTGTATCCGCACAAAACCAACTTTTACAGGAAAGGCATACAACTGGTATTCTCGTTAGGCGACAGCGGGCTGATTATTCAGATACATAGGCAAAGCTATAGACAAAAAAGACAAAGGAAATTTGGAGCACTTCTATTGGTTAAAACATGTGGTTGTTATAGACTAAAGGAGATAAAGATGGACTAACTAAGGGATCTCTTGTAGGTTGCCGTTAGTTATAGTTTATTACTTACCTCCTTCGTCCGTTGCAACCATCTGCTTTTACCAATAAGATTGCTTAATTTCCCCTCTGGCTTCTTTGTCGGTCAAATGCAATTTTCAGCCCACAAGATGACTGAAGATTTTCTGGAGCATTCGAAGATGGATCATCATTTCGTTGAGTGTTCTCAAATAATTTCCCTTGTGATTAAATTTTTAGTGCTCTTGTAGGCTAATTTAAAAGGTTAGACATGCGCCCTTTTTTTTAAAAAAAAATAAAGAAAAATTGGGACATATTTAAGAGAAAAGTGAGTTTTTGAAGTTTCATCACTACTTTTTGTTACATCAGTAGCTCATGGATTTGTGAACTACACATGAAGGCAAAAATTCAGAGATATTCTATTTTTCCGGAAACGGAAAAAATTCTCAGAAAGTATATACAAGTGCCCTTCAGCCGGCTAAATATACAACGACCGAAAATAAATAAATAAACAAATTGAACATTCTGAACTCACGTTCTTGAACCAGAGACCGATTCGAACGTCTTTGAGACTCGAGAAGCCTGACTGCTTTGCCGAAACAGAAAACAGGTCAATGAAAGTCTCGAACTTTGATCCATCGGATCCAGCCTTTAGGCGCAAAAAAATGTAGTCAATGGGTCGACTTCATGGGGTACGACGTAGAGCCACAGTTGCAATGAAAGAGTTGTCGTCACGTTAAACCATTATCCAATCTCCGAATATCGATACTTCTGTACGGCATCAGGTACGGATTTCCGTGTGCAGATTTACAGTTACGGATTACAGTTCCGGGCACGGATCAAACAAAAAGGCACCAAAAACCACTGCGCAGAAATTCAACTTACCTTCTCTTGGACTGATAATACTGCTCTAGAAAATCTTCGGCATGCCTAAGCACTTCCTCTTTAGACCGAAGTCCCGCTTGAACTTTCATCATGGGGGTGTGAAGTATACTTCCGAGACAAGTGCCGGAACCGCATAATGGAGGCTACAGCATAGAAAAAAACAAAAAAAAACCGTGAAATTATTGAACTAAACATAAACAGAGCTAATTTCTCCGACAGGAGATTCAAAATCATGATCATATAATACGTCATGTCTCTTTCCGCGTGATTCTCAACTTCATACTCCAGATTCGAAGTTAGAAGTTGGTGTACAAACTGTATAGGAGCTCCTCAGATGCTACCCTGGTAAAAATTGGCAGTAGAATGTGTGTTCCAAAATACTATACACCTAAAGCCGGCTGTAAGATTTCCAATAGCTTCTGTAGCCGGCTGTACAAGTTCTTATAGCCTTTTGTAGCCGATGGCGATTAAGCAACAGCCAGACGATAAAGTTTATGCTAAACGTTACTAAATACGGATACTAGGATTTAGTTAGTTTTTGGACTACCGCTCTCTTTTTCTGCCGTAGTATCTTGATTTATTTTGCAAGGAAAGCTCCGTACTTTTGAAGGATGCCTGTCATTCTTAATATGTTGGAGCGCCCTCAATTTCTTATGATACTGTGCAATACATCTGGTGTGAAATAGTTGCTTCAGACGCCGTGGCACGCTGCGGCGCGGCGGGCGGGCAGAGAGCGCGAAACGCGCATTGGCGCCTACAAACCTAACAGGGATACTTCACGCATTGCTAGGCTCTAATATTTAATTTAGCGGAGTCAGCGTTTTTGAACTCATGATTTTGAAATGTTTCAACACTCTGTATGGATTATTCTCATTTTAATTGATGAAACAAAATATAATTTAAAGGAAAATATAATGTGCGTTTTGTAAATATTAGGGTAGTTCCGTATCAAACTTAATGATTTCCAAAGCACGCAAATTTCTACACAATTTCTTATAGCCTTTTATAGCCAATGGCGATAAAGTGTAAAGCCCGGCGATGGGAACTCTTGCCCGACTGTTTACTTTTTTATAGGTTCGTATAGCCCGACTATATGATTTTCAATAGCCTTCTTTAGTCGGCTTTAAGAACTCCTATGGTATTTTGGAACGCAGCTCCTATCGTCAATTTTTACCAGGGTATACAAGTAGCGTGCCGCGCTTTGCGATATCAATTGATCTGCCATTTACACCTATGGAAAAGGATCGATAGACAGAGTGTTCACAACGAACACTTTAAAAACCGATTCTTTACTATAGCTTAAAATGGAGAAATATCGATAATGAATCCTTTTTGCCTCCCCACTGGATGCTACGAATGCTGCTATTATATAAAATCGTGGAAAAAGGCCCTAGAGTTGGAAAAATAGACCTATAAAATAACCACATAGGTTAACGGAAATAGTTCTGTATCCTTCGCACGTGAGAACGCCCAAAAGTATTTTTTCTATAGCACAGATTTAAAATTTAGAGGTAAAAAAACGTAGGGCTCAAAAAAACAGATGAACAGTTCGCCATGCTAGAGTACCTTTATAGACAGACTATGACCATTCGTATCTTTTTGCTACAGAGAAACTGTTCCGCTTTTTTATTGGTCACTAGTTTTTAGGCTTCATGATGCTCTTAGGGCCGTATATAAACAAACAAGATGGCGACTCACCGTAACATCGATAAGAAGCTAAATTTGACAAAAATTTCAATTATACGGCAGTAAAAATTTAAACTAGCATATCTACGAATAACACACGAAAAAAACAAAATTACAGGCTGGGCCTCGTGATTTGGTCCAAGGTGGTAGTGGCGAGCCCGAATCCGGGTGTCCCGAAAAAGGGGGAATAAGGATCAACTTGGATTGGTCCATACGCTGTTTTGTCCTTTCTCTCTCTCGCACTCATTGCTCAGATGCGGCACGTCAAAGGAGCACACTCGGCTTTGACAAGCCGCCGTTTTATCGTCTATCTCTCTCCCACCATTGATCAGATGCGGCAACCCGCGCCTCGTCAAAGGGACACACACACACACTCGCAAACACGAAAACATTGTTAAGGTTAATCTTCAGCTGTAGTTCCGAAAAAATCCACCACGTCGCGCTGCTAAAATCCGACTCCGAAATCAGTGATTATTTAAATATCACAATAGGTATTTTAAATTCTAAGACTCATAAGTTCTAGCAGCATACGTCTGGAATCCTTAGAAACAAACGCGAGCTTTGAAAGTCTAATAATAAAAGCTGTAAATTGATCCCAGTTTCTCTTACGGGATATCTGTAAGTGCGAGAGAGACAGCTCACGGTGGGAGAGAGATATCTGCCAACTGCTGAGAGCGATCAAGCGGGATTGGTTGCATCAAGGTCATCATGCTTAACCCTACTTTTTTCTGGGATCAAATTGCAGAGCTTCAGAAATGACTTTTCACGTTGTTTTTAGGGTCAATAGGAAGAAGAATGTTATAGCTAGAACTTATTTATCTTCGATTTAAACAGAAATTCCTTCAACTTTTATAAAAGCTCAAGGACTCACGTGGTGCTGTACGGACTCTAAAACACAGCGGTGGCGCCCCCTGCGCGGAGAAATTTCTTACTTCACGCAGCTGTAGATACACCTTAAATCGCCTTTCACCTTTATCACAGGAGGATGTAAGATGTGTATAACCTCAATCTTGCTTGCTCATAACAGCCATATTGTTTGTTTATTTACGGCCCTTAGAGCATCGTGTCAGCCTATTCGCTCGCGACCAATGAAAAACCGGAACAGGAATGGCCATACTCTGTTTATAAAGGTACTCTACGCCATGCTGTTGTCAGTTTTAAAAATGATTCCTCTCTGCAGCTCAATTTCAGACATTTCTAAAATGCTTGGCGTGATTTTTGAGCAATGCACCCCACGAAGTGCCAAGGTGAATAAAGATTACAGAAATTGAACGTGTTTTGTTGGTTTTTTGTAATCTTTGATCGGCCCATTCTCAAATTCCTCTCTCTGTTCCTTCTCTCATTCCGTTTGTTCCTTGCCGAACCCGTAATTCCCTGGTCCATTGCAATGGATTGCATTGGATTGCAAAGGCAATCGGTGAAAATGTAATCTTTATTCCCGTTTGTGACACTGTGAAGGCCTAAAATACGGGAACCAATCAGAAATGGATTCACATTGTCTTGACTCTCAGTATAAAGGGACTCTAGTTCGCTCTATGTCTAGGATGCTCGACTGCACAATGCATTCGTCTTTAGATTTTCTCCAAATGTATGGTCTGGGGGAACGCCCCCATAGTGAACTGTAATCCTCCAAGGCACCATAGATCGTGCTTCAATCCGGCGTTTACCCGAGAAGTTTTCGGGGCGGGAAATGTATCCATCCGTTCATGGTTGTGTATGTTTTGCCCGCAGATCCCGCGGAGGGACCGGAGGTTAACCAGTTGGTAGTTTTTCCGAGCGAGTTGTTGAATCGTAAGCCGGGACGCCGAATATCCCGCGGCTAATTGCACTTTGATGTTCCCCTCAACCGAAATCCCGGCGTAAGTTTTAATACATATGCTAATTTTTGATAGTCTGGCCGCCCTAATGAATGGCCAAGTTGAACTTCGGCCATAACGCGTCGTGTGAGCGCCGCTCCCAACGGTCTGGTCTCGTTCCGGCCTGTCGCGTCGTTGCGCTGTGAAACATGCTCCCGTGCTAAGGAAAAACGCCGTATAAACATTCGAATGGTGCCGAATTTCCCTCTAGAAAATTTGTATTTGAATCACTAAATACAAAAAGGGCACATGTCCGGAAAACCAAATTGTTCAGGAGACACAAAAAACTGTTTATTTCGTGGTAGATATTTTTTGGAAAGTCGTTGTGTTAAAAAAAATGTCTACCACGAAATATAAAGTTTTTTGTGTCTCCTGAACAATTTGGTTTTCTGGACATGTGCCCTTTTTGTATTTAGTGATACTTTTTTGAGCATGGCGATGAATAACTTTCCTTGAATTTTTTAGGAACTTTGGGTGAAATTGTGAACGAAATAATCTGAAAAATTGGGGAAAACATGTCCGTGCGTTCACCAGAAAATTCTTGTTTTATAATACGAAATTTTGCAATGCCTGAAGGATCATACGGCGTTCTTTCTTAGCACAGCAGCATACAGGGTGTCACAGGGTTAGGATTCTAGGAAGGTTCAAGGAAACTCTTAAAGAAGCATTATAAAACGAACAATTTTCGTGAACTTCGAGTAAAATTTAAACATATTGACTTTGAAAATGGATCCTTGCGTGGTATTATAATTATGTAACCACTGAAAAAAGCAAAAAATTGAAGAAACACACTGAAATAAAAATTCTAAAATTTTGGCAAATTTTGTTCTCAGTACATCAACTAAAGAACAGACCACAACGGTAACTGGAGCAATGAATCCCATAATAGGAACTCTATGGATACACAAATGGTTATGCGTTCAGCTTATGTGACTTAGATAACATATTCCTTTTTTAAATGAGATTTTCCTTTTCTTCAATAAAATACTTTCCGTAAGTTTTTGTAGTGATAAGTTGATCCGAATAAAATGTTTGGCAGTCCTTTTAAATTCTACATTATAGGTGTGCGTTTTGTTGCGATCACAGCAGATGATCGGAACTCGAGGGTGAATGCGAGAAGAACAAGGAAAAATTCAAAGCACCCTCAATTTTTAAAAGACCAAAAGCATAGAACATTCAGAAATGAATTAATCCCACGCCTTTTCCCCCTTGGTGCTCCTTGTCGTGAATCTCGACATTTTCTTTTGTTTTTGAAAAATACGAGCGATGGGAGGGGAGTGAATTTTGGGCGTACCAAGTAAATCCTCCCGACGGAGGGCCGTAACAGCGGTGTCGAGCTTTTCGGCCGATGGGAGGGGAAAAATTTAATTAGAAACGAATCGAGAAAAAACTGGAGGAGGGAAGGAAAAAAAGTCATCTCTCCGACAAACAATGCGCCCGCATTTCCTTAATCAAAAGTCCGCCTTGTCCCCGGCGAACGCAATTAAAGTTCAATGAAACGATGACGGAACGAGCCCGCCTGATTTTCGTCGTCAAGGATGCACGCAAAAATGCACGGCATAATCTTTTGTTTCTGACGCCTCATAATTTCCACGTTGTTC